TAGTGTCAGAAGTGAACTAAATTGTAGGACACCCACCCAGTTGGCATAGGAGATCTGATGTTGGAAAAACAGTCATCCCTAATAGAGTTTAAATTCTAATAAAGACACCAATAAATATGTTTAAATCTGTTGAATGAATTAGTTATACAATTTCCCTGCAAAACAGAAAAACTGCCTATTGTTTATAAAATTAAATTATCCTATTCAATAAAGTTACTATAATACGTTGAAAGACAATGAAAGCTTTTGGTTTCCTTTACAACAAATAACACAAATGTCATTGGAAGGCTGTGTGTAGGAAGAGTTAACAGTAGACTTGAAACTGCAATCCTTAGGAATGACTGCTTGCAAGATTGTTTCTTGACTAATATCTGGAAATCTGAATTTTGGGAAAGTTCCAAGTATTGTCACCATGAGTTGTTGGGGTCCCCAAGACAAGTCCCAGGTTTGATGATTTGCTAGAAGGACTGACAGGATCCAGCATATAGTTATACTCATGTCTGTGATTTATTATAGCAAAAGGATACGAAACAAAACTAGCAAAGGGAAAAGATGCAAGGTGGGGTTATTACAGCTATGGAAGACTAGGTGAACAAGAGAACATCTTTTAATGCAATCCACCCCATTAAAATTAAAATCCATATGATCATTAACAAATGCAAAAAAAAAAAATCAAAATTCAATATTTAACCATTATTAAAAAACTATTTTCTTTAAGGAAATTTAGAAAAAATATGGCAGTGTATTTAATGGTGCAAAATTTAAAACATTCATCTTAAATTCAGGAACAAGGCAAAGATATTTACAAGACAACTTCTAGTCGATGTTGTGCTGTATTTCCTAGCCTGCACATTAAAATAATGGAAATAAATAAAAGATGTTGAGATTGAATAAGAATCCAAACTTCACAAATTATGAACATCTAACTGGAAAAATACTAAAAGATCCTCAATTATTAGAATTAGAGTTTAGGAAAGTTGCTAAGTAAAATCAATTTGAAAGAATCGATAATAATTCTACATACCAATCAGAAAATGCAACTTATGAAAACATATTTTAAAACTAGAAATAAATTTAACAAATGATGTCTAAGACCCGAAATTATAAAACTTTACTGAAAAATATTAAAGTTCCAAAAAACTGGAGTGATATAACATGTTCATAAAGAAAGTTCAATATCCTAAAGACATCAGTTATTCATTCCTAGAAATATCCCTTTGCCTTCTCCCATCTCCTTAATCTTCAACCAGTGGATTTCGTGTAACCCTCCTCCTTATATCTTCTCTTTTGATTCTAACGTATGGGACAAACTGCAAACCTGCCATCCTCGGAAGCATTTTCTCAATCCATTGAGATTTTGGTTCCATGCATGTCCTCAAAAGTTTGGCTCAAATAAACTCTTAAGAAACTTTTCTGTAGGCTGGATATTCTTTCATGGACAACAGAAATATAATAGTAACCTTGACTGACCTTTATGCCTCATTTTGCTCATTCAAAAATGAAAATACTAATACCAACTTCATAAAATTAAATAGATTAAATGAGTTAATATATGAAAAGAATTTAAAACAATGACTGCCAGATAGTACTAATATTATGCATTATTATAATCTCAAAATGTATAGTGGTATGTGTGAAAGAAGATGCCAAAGGGAGCATGAAAGTATTCATTTTATTCTCAAAAATAAATCTTTTATATATTTAATGTTATAAAATTTATGATATATTCATAAAACATTTTCAAGAGAAATATGGAGCAGGTTGTAAAGGGCCTCGCTAAAAAGCCAGGGAGACCAATTAGAAGATTAGCTTATTAAGTTCTAAGTCCTAAGTGTTGACCTTGGTTATTGCGAAAATAAACACACTGACAGAAAAGTCATTCTTCTGCTTCAAGATCATGCTGCTCGTACTCCTATTTAATATCTTATACCCAACCATTGTTTTCCTGCTTCTCTCCACTAGTGAGTTGATACATAGCAATCACTCAATGTTACTGTTAACCACAGTTACACTTGCAGTGAAAGAGAACCAAAAAAGAACAATTCAAATGTATCACCTACTTCCATGTTGCTCACATTTGACATTTATATGGTAGCTGCTCCCTAAAGACTGTATTATTTGTGAATCTGTTAAATATCTTGCCTAGTAAGAGCATCTCTATTTACTATAGCTAGCTCCACACTGGGTTTATCAATGTTGAATAAGTATCAATCATTAATGTTCATAACCCTGAAATCTGAATATGAGTAGCCTTCTGAGTTCACATTGTAGTTTTAAAAGGTCTTTTTGTGCTGTCATATTTTATGGTCGTCTGTTTGTTAAGCTAAAGTGCTTTTTAAATTCTGTTGGAAATGGTTGGCCTTATTTCTGACAAGACAGTTAAAGTGTCTAAGCAGCACCATTTCTTATACACTGATAAACTTGACTTCCAAATTAGACATTTTGATGTAACACATCAAGTTAATTAAGGTTGGTTATGTTTTGATTTATAAAGGATCCTAGATATTCTTACTGTATTCTTGATATTTAGAATCTACTTAAAGTGGAGCTTAGCATATAAAAATATATATGCTTTCCTATTAAACACTACAGGATTTTGATCAGACTACCTTAAACACTAAGAATAGACCACATTTCAGCATCACTGCTCAGCTTGATGGCCTTAGCAGAGTGCAGTTCAATTCGACGTTCAGTGGCATACCTCATTTAACTGGGCTTTGCCTTACTGACCTTCACAGATGTTCTGTATTTTTTACAAACTGAAAGCAAGACCCTCCTCCCACAGCAAAAAGATTACTACTTGCTTTATTGTGGTCTTGAACCAAACCTGCAATATCTTTAAGGTATCCCTATATAAGAGTATTCCTTGCTCAGTCTCCTAGTGCTACATTTTGAGAGCAGTGAAAAACCCTCTTATCTCAATTAAGTTTAATTGATCATAATTCTTATATAGCTTCATCCATTTACTTACTGACTTAGTTCCAAACAGTCTAATAGTGCCTCTTTTATCTTTCCTTTGACTGACCTAATTTCTGATTGAACTCCAATTGCTTCAATCAATTATTTCTCGATCTTCCCTGACCTCTCTGCAAACTTGTTACCACCATCTTTTTTTGAAACTCTGAAGGTTATTTCCGGCCTCATTTTCACAACTTCTAACTATAGCCACCAAAAACTGAAACTGAGGAAAAGTGTGTCTTTATTAAGGTACCTCTGCTCTCTTGCAACGTTCCCTAAACTTCTTACCCCATTAGTGTCATGATATAACTTTACCGTGATAGTTTCCTGTCTTCTTCCTTCACTATCCCTTTTTAAATTTTTTTTTTTTACCTTTTACAATTCATTTACTACAACTCTACCCCCACTCTACCTCTGCTCATCTCAAATTATTTCAAGATTATTGAAAGCACCTACTGTCTTCGCACATACTCTAAATGCTTGCGTTGGTGCCTTTTCCTCTCTATTCTGTTCTTGCAACAAGCATTTTCAATTCCTTCACCATCCAGCTAGCTCCATCTTTCCAAGCATTGCTAAGTCATTCTCACCTAAGTTATTCCAGTATGGCAGCATTTATCAACTTGTACTATAGAATAGTACGTGTAATTTCACTTTAGTGCTTTGCCCATTCAAAGGAGGGATTCTATCCTTTTCGTCTGTGTAATCTTAAAGCCTAAAAGTATGCCAGCCACTCAGCATGTGCTAGTAAAGAGATAATAGCTCTAACTTGGGCCTCCTCACATTTACTGCCTAGCTGCAGTATTCCCAAGGGGGCGGTTACGTTTGACACTCCAATTCGACAAATATTTGTGACCTAACTAGCCCTTGTGGAGGCAAAAACAATAATAAAGATCAGCGCCCTCTGTCGCTTCTCTAAAACAGCATTTACATGTTGCAGTCATAGTAATAAGGTGAGAGGTGGGAAGCACGCGCTCTGGGTAGGATAAGCACAGGATGAAGTTAACGGGAGGGTGGGAGGATGTACTGCAGGCAAAAGAATCAGCTTAAGCAAGGACTAGTATGCACTCGAGACTACGGACTGTTTAACAGTTGCCAATTAAGCCGATCAGGACGCCTACCTGGTCTCAGCGAGATTCCAAGAGCGGCCGTTACACACACGTGACCACAGGAGCAATGTTTTTGCAACCCATCCTAGCGGGTCCTGGCAATGTTCGGTAACCTAGGCTGCTTAGGCCGAAAGGTGAAAGGGTCATGCGAGATAGAGATAGGACAGGCCTGTTTCAATGGAAGGAGCAGGGAACGACGGAATACCTTAGGGCGCTCTTGGCGCCCGCCGCCGTTTCCCATGATGGGGTGAGACGCTGGGCTTACAGCGCTCTGAAAGCAGAGGCGCCAGGACCGACCTGGGGCTTATTCGAACGTCAACTGCTTCTTACCGAGAACTGAGAACCAGAAGTTGCAGAGACTGACGCTGTCGCCATCTTCCTGTCTGCCCAGGTGACCTCTACAGCCCCGGGGCGGCCCGGGTCCCGCGCTCTTCTTCCAGATTCTAGAGCCGCCCGCTAGGGGCGACCCTAAGCCGAGCCCCTGATGGAAGGGGCCGGGGCGCTGGTGCTGGGTCTAGAAACCCCTGCTACACACTCGCCACAGGGACGCCACGCTCCGAGCGCACAAGGAAAGCACAACACGCCCTAACGGACGCCTTGAATAGCCAATCAAAAAAGCGGATGTCTTCCGGTACCAGGAGCGAGTCCGCCTCTTCCCTCGGTGACGTCACAAGGTAACGCGTAGTCGGGACCGCGGAGGCCGGTAACGCCGCAGACTACGAGACGATCCCGAGTGGCATCTATGGAGGGGCAGGTGTTCTCCAGGAGGAAATGTGGGCGAGAGATCGCTTTGTCGCCAGAGGCAATTGAATGGTTGATATAGAATTAAAGCGAATGCGAAATTCAAACACTCCATCCGTTTCCTTGGACTAAACGCCAAGGAGAGCGTGAGCTTGATTCGGGGACGCCTCTCCAGGTGAAGTATTTTTACCTTATGGCCAATAACGAATAGATTGCGGAGGGATTTAATGAGTTGGTCCGATACAAGTCAAGGGAAAAGGAGTCGAGGCACAGTGAACCTTCGCAAACTCTGGCTCAATTGGATTGGGGAGCTCGCACCCAAACCTAAAACTGGCTGCTAGAAATAGCCGTGACCCAGGCCTTTGGGCGGGGCGAGTTTAAAGCGGATTTCGCGCTCTAAGAGCGTCAGACTGTTATTGGTCAGCGACTTCTTCCCTTTGTGGGAGCTCCCTGCGTCGCCGGGTTAGGGGTTGGGAGGAGCAACCGAGTGACGCAGTAGCCTCCCCAGCTAATCAGGGAAGGGGAAGAGAGACCGAGAAGGAAGCGGATCCGCTGCCGTGCAGCTGAACTGCAGCGAACTACCCGCTTCGTCTCCCTCCGCCACTATCGGGGCCTAAGCGGGAGCGGCCGGGACGGCGTCACTGGGTGGGCTGGGGCGGAAGTGGAGGCGGAGGGAGACGGCGGCGTCCACAGGGCCTTGGGAACTCGCGGCGAGGTCCTGGGAACTCGCGGCGAGGCCCTGGTGGGCGCGAGGCAGGGGGAGGGGGAGGAGGAGGAGCCCGCGGCCCGGGCGGCGGCGGCGGCGCCCGAGTTCCCCGTAGGGCTCCGCCTCGGAGCGGGCGGCTGTGGAGGAGGAGACTGAGGAGCAGGATGGCGGCCTCGGCCCTGTACGCCTGCACCAAGTGTACCCAGCGCTATCCTTTCGAGGAGCTCTCCCAGGGCCAGCAGCTCTGCAAGGTCCGTGGGCGCTGGGCAGCGGGCGGGCGGGGGGTTTTTTCGGCCGTAGCCCAAGAGAGCTGGGTGCCCGCTGCACTGCAGTCGCGCTCTCTTTGCCGGCGCCTTGGGGATTTGGAACCCTCGCCTCCTCACCTGGGGACCCCGTTATCGGATGACCTGAGCATCAGCTCGGAAAGGCCCGTGAGAGGAAGACAGAACCATACCCTCATCCAGGCGGACCAGGAAGGGGCCGGGCCCTGGGAACCTTCAGGGGTCTCAGGGGTGGGGCTGAGTGAAGCAGCCACCTGTCTATGCCGCAGAGACCCTGGGGTGGAGATGTTTTCATCTCGTTTTTTTGCCTGGTCTGTCCTCTCCTTCCACCGGGAGGCAGGGGACGGTTTTTGCACTTTCTTGCTAGGAACCTGAAGCAGCAAAGCTGATGGCATCCTCCTTCCCTGTCCAGGAAAGCGAAGCGATGGCTTGGGAACAGAATGCTCTATGATTTGGAGCTCCTCCCATCCCATTAAAGCCGGGATGCTGTCTGTGAGCAACGGTGCAAAATAATAAGTAGTTTCACATTTAACCAATCCTTGAAATTGGCCCTGACAGCTTTCTTAATTTATCTGTAACGTACCCCCACATCTAATAAAGACAAAGACACCTATGCCTTCCCTAAGGAATTACACTGTAATTGGCTATTTTTATAATAAATCACAATTGTCTACGTTGGGGGGGGGGACAGATTTTATTAATGTTTTAGACATTTGACTAGGTTAGGTAATAATTTTCTACCAGAAAAGTGAAATTGAGACTTTGAAATGGATACTGACTAATTCATTGTCTTATTCCAGGAATGTCGGATTGCGCATCCTATTGTAAAATGTACTTACTGCAGATCAGAATTTCAACAAGAGAGGTTTGTATACTGAATAGTTTTTGATTGTTAAAGACAAAGTATTGTCTGTAAGGAATACTTGGGTGTTGTAACTCCATGCTTGTATTAAAGTGTTTGTTTTGAATGGTTTAGCTTTTTAAATTTTAAGTTATAAACCTTTTAGACATGACAGGAGAGAGAATGTTGACAAAGAAATTAATGGTTATTTAACAGCTAAACAGTTTGCACATGAGGAAGGAATAATTGTATGGAAAATGTGGAGCTTTCCTAACGAAAAACTCAAATATAAATAGGTATTACTAAGCTAAATAAAAAATGGCACATTAGTGCTGACATGGACTTAAGGAAAGAGGTCTGTAATGTTACCAGCAACCTTCCCAGAGTTAAATCTAATAATTTGTCACCAGTGGATGAACAGCACATACTTTTCAATAGGATGATTCCTGTTAGAAAATTAGAGCACACACAAGAGAGTAGCCTAAGAGAAGAACAAATAATTTCTTCATATGTCGGTGTGGGCATCATAATGGAGAAGGTCTAGTGGAAGTTTAGGTAGGCACTGACATGTAATGCTGTGCATAAGCAGTGGCAAGTGTAAAGATTTTGGAACAAGACAGGAAACATTAGGATTCTTTGTTTTGTTTACCAAAAAATACACAAAAGGTATAATTTATTTTAAGGGAAGAGGAGTAAATTTGAATAATATACAACCCTAGAAAGGTCCTTATGTTCGTATTTTTAAAAATTCTTTGGTTTATATTACAGTAAATTTTAAGTACTAGTAAAACAAATAGTACTCTTGACTATCTGCTTTAGTTGAACATGCAGATTACCTCAGAAAGCTACATAACTTTGATCACCTATATACAACTTCCTTTTCAGCAAAACTAATACAATTTGTAAGAAGTGTGCTCAAAATGTGAAGCAGTTTGGCACGGTAAGTATGTCATATTTTTCTTGTTATTGTTACTGGTCAATTAATGATTTTCACAAAGAGAGACCTTTTAAAATACATATATAGCTATGTTCTTAAATATTTCAACATATCAAAATATTTTCGGAAAGAAATCTATAGACAGTCTGATAGGAAGATGACAACATTTAAAAACAGTCATATTATGTGTATGTTTTATATATCTTGCACTTCATTGTGAAATTTATGATTTTAAAGGTTCAAAAACAGCAAACAAACTCCTGGTTATGGAGAGTCTACTAATTCATAAAGTTTGATAATCATACTTTTTCTCCCTTCTTCAGAACCTCCAACAATTTTTATATAACAGCATAATTCAGACATTTATTCACAACAGTCATGGCATTATCCTAGTACTAATTCTTTTCTTACATGTATATTATAGTCATTATTGGTATATTATTATGATTAGTCAAAGTGCTACCCTTAACACTCTGTAAAATCCTGAATTATCTTTTGAATATCAAGAAAATCGAGGTTTGTTTGTTGTAGTTTATATCGAATATGCTATGCCAATTTTTTTAAGTTGAAAACTCACCTATAGTGTATATTCCTTGCATCATCTGTACCTATATGTGATGAAAAGTTAAAATGTTTTTAGAATAAATGATACAGTAATTAAGCTAATCAGGATATTAGTAGAAGTTCATTACTCCACATACTGGATACATGAAAATTTCTATCAATGGGTACCTATATTTTCATTATTTAAGACCTTTTTTGCATGTAGCTTTTTTATTTAACATACTATGCAAATCATAAATATATTTCTCATGGTTTTTTAAAATTATTCAATAGCATAACAAGAAATTTTACTAAACGAATAGAAGCATGATAAATATAGAGCAACATGTAGCAGGTCCTCAAATAATGTTATGATATTGATTGATGCTATAGGAATTTAACTCTTGTTTATATCAATTACCTTATGGTAAAATTGATTTCATTATGTGTTGTTTTGCTTAAAGTTGCATAACCTATCAATGGCGTTAAGTGAGGATATACTGTATTTGAAAACAATTTTTTTTACCTATTTTCTTTAGTTAACCTCAGAAATGTCTGTACACTGGGTATATTTTATGGAGCATATTTTTAATATTTTTAAATGTCTCTGTTAAAGAAAATATATCTGTTTTTCAGCCCAAGCCTTGTCAGTACTGTAACATAATTGCAGCATTTATTGGTACAAAGTGTCAGCGTTGCACAAATTCAGAAAAAAAGTATGGACCACCTCAGACTTGTGAACAGTGCAAACAACAATGTGCTTTTGATCGGAAGGAGGAAGGAAGAAGAAAGGTATGTTTTTTTTTTATGTTATGGTATATTTTGGAAATTAAATAAAACATCAGACAAGTTGGAAGTTACTATAATTAATACACTACGGATATTGATGTATTTTTTGGGTCCCTGCAAACATGTAGTTAGATGAACGTATAGGAACAGTGCATATTCTCCTTGTTTACATCACATATAGATTCATGTTGATCAATTGAGATTACTGTGCTTTCAGAAATATTCGGTGATGTCTATTCTGTACTACTTGGTTATCTCACAATTAGTTTGGAAGAATTACTGCTTTTACATCCTTTTCAGCTACTTACCTTTTTGCTGGTTACTTGAAGTTACTGGTATGAAAAAATATCTTAAGGCACATTAACGTGTAATTCAGAGTTAGTCTTGTATTATTTGGGGCTCATATTTTAAACCATTGTTTGTTTTTCTCTACAGTGACTTAAAAAGTTTATGTATGCATGTGGCAACCCTCTGCTGCTCAGCATTGACACAGGCCTCCTGTTGTCTGTCAGTTTGAGTTGATTCGAAGGGTGACTGTCTCTTTGAGGGGCACCCCTAGGATCCCCCATAGCAAAATATATACCTTAGTTTTAAGAAGTATTCTTTCTGCACTTCTTGTGTGAACAAATAGAAGACAACTTTATTTTTATAGGTCTAGTCTTAATAATTTTGGAAAGAAATCTCTTTTCCTCTCCCTAGACATGTACAATTGATTCTCATTATTTGTGGTAGTTATGTTCTATAAAGTTGCTGGGAACACTGATTTAGTAAATATTTAACTATTGCTCCTAAGGGCCATACAGGATTAGGTGCCTATTCCTGGTCACAACATTGTTTTATATATGTTTCTGTTTAAAGAAACCTTACTTAGTGTATATTGTTGATTGATTAAATTGAACTCACAGCAAACAGCATTGTAACTATGCCTGAATGAAGCTTATCTAACATGTATTTTTTTACGTAAGGTACATCATAGCCTCCTTATGCTTAGGAACACTATACATCACTTCACTATACCTGGGGACCATTTTAAACAGTGAAATCACTGATAAAAAGCAAAAATGTGGCACTAAATAGACCAGGAGAAGAACACTGGTTTATAGAATGAGAGCTGAAAGAAGAAGGCAGCAGATCGTCACCTTGGTTGAACCTGAGCTGGGAAGGTTTGCTGTCTGGCTACACAGATTTGCCGCTCTGTGCATGTGCATGAATGATCACAAAAGTACTGCAAGTTGATTTTGGGGTTACAGATAAATTTTAGCAAGTAGGTGGTGCATTTACAAATGTGAAATCTGAATAATGAGAATCAACTGTATATGTCATTCAAGTGCTTTTTTCTATAAATTAACAGTTTTACTGTAATGGGAATTTTAGTAATTACACAGCAATTTAAGAATTCCGACTGGTGCTTCAGTAAGAATTCTTTAAACTATACCATCAATTTATGCTTATTTTCCAAGTAATAAGAAAACAAGTTTTTTCCTCCAAATTTAAAAATGGCTCAAAACTAGTGGAAGTCCATCTATCCTCAGCAATTTTATGATCCTCTAAACAAGCATTTTCCCAAGTTTCAGAAAAGTAATTTTATTTCCATTTTACAACTCTGTATATGAGTGTGTGTGTGTGTGTGTGTGTGTGTGAAATATAGCTAGAAGTTGAGTATTTTCTCTTACCTGGTTTCACAGGTACATTTAATCTAATACAAATATTTCCTTTAAAAAGGTTGACGGAAAATTATTATGCTGGCTTTGTACTTTATCATATAAGAGAGTTTTACAAAAGACAAAAGAACAGAGGAAGAGCCTGGGATCTTCACATTCAAATTCATCATCTTCATCTCTTACTGAGAAAGACCAGCATCATTCAAAACATCATCACCACCATCATCACCATCACCATCGTCACAGCAGTAGTCATCACAAGTAAGTACTTTGAAATCCTGTTGTCTAAAATCCAGGCATTTTAATGCCATCTATTGGTATTTAACTTTTTGCAAGTACTAGTTATGTGCTAGTCTTTCCATTGTACACGGTAAGCTTCTTGAGTATCTAGGACTGTTTCTCCACTTCGTTGAGCTTATAAAATTATATACATGGAGTGTGTTTAGCTGTTTAGCATAATAATAAAGATCAGACATTTAAGTAATTACTACATAAAATTATGATCATATGAAGTCAAAGTACAAGTATATCAGAGTTAATACTTTATTGATTTATATTATCAAAAGCCAAAATATTTTTTTTTGTTTAAATAATTGTTAGGATTTTACTTATAAAAAATACATTTACCTCAGTTATCATTCGTTTTAATTAAAACAAAATTAAACCAGTGACTAGAGAATGTACATTCAGTATTTTTGAGAAAATATTGTTAACACTCTCATTTGTGACCAAGATAGAAACATTCTAAATCTTGAAGGTTCTCAAAGTGTAAGAAATAATCTTTTTAATTAGTGGTGCTTTGCTGTTTTTGTTTGTTTGCTTGTTTGCTTGTTTTAAACACATGGGCAGGAATTCTATTCAAATAGAAACAACTACCTGATTTTTTTAAAGTGCCTTGGGTGGGGGTGAGTTATGTAGGAGTACTTCTTTAACCTTTTATGTGTGTTGTGTAAAGATTTTTAAGTGCGATTTTAGTCTTCAGGGAAAAAAATCAATATTAAAACACAAATTAAAATGGAGAACACAGGAACATGATGCATACTGATTTTCATAAAAATTCTCTGTTTTTCCCCAAATTTCTCTGAGTATTTAGAGTTCTTTATAGTCATAACATGATTTTATTTACAGAAAACTGATGCCTACCACATTTCGGAACACAGTGGTATTTTAAAAATATAATATGATTCTGTCTAGTGAAAATTTGATTCTAAATTGTAGTCAAGCACATATCAGATTATGGGCGTGCTTTTGAGGCACAGATGCGGTTTACTTTAGGGGCAGAATTTTTCCACTTGCCTTACCGTGTTGTGCTTTCTGGATGTAACAGTGGTAGACCGCATAGTGACTTCTCGTGGCTATTTTGAAGAAGTCTTGTGGTCTTTATGTAAGTATCCCAAGGAGCAAAGAAACATAAATCTTCCTTGTTTTTGTTTCGTGCTTTAATAAAAAGCATGACAAAATAGCTACCATAATGGTATCCAGCAGGCCTACTCCAAAGACTCAGCCAAAATGTCTCTTTCTCTTGTGTTTTACATATAAATTTGCCTTAGTGTGATGTGGAAAGACACACTCAGAGTATGTTTAATAAAGATCAAATTCTGTGACAGGAATTTTTTAAGAATGACAACTCTCAAAAGTAAA